TATATTATATATATATAAGTATAGATTCCATTCCATCCGAGAGCTCGGGATGGGCACATAGCCATCCCATTTCATAAAAATAAATAAATATAATATATATAATAAATAAATAGATAAATATACTCTAAATAGGTAGCATGGAGTAATAAGTAAATTTATCTTACTTTTAGGATAATTATATATATGTTTTTTTTTAAAATTTAAGATATAAATAATTAGATCTGGCATCTGGTTTGTTTACTTTCTATTCATGCGCATGTCCATTTGTTGTCTAACAGTAATTGTCAAAATCTCCCTAAAATTTTTATTTAATTGTTTTAATCACATATTTTATATATTGTTACCAAACATATTGTTGAGAAAAATAGGGCGAAGAAAAACAAGAATCGACACAAATCCAGAAGAACACAAAGATTTAACGAGGTTCGGCAAAGATGCCTACGTCCTCGGGAGCAGAGCGGCGAGTTCCTTTCACTATTCAGAAAAGGGTTACAGAATAGAGAGATTACCTCCTGGGGTTACTAACAGGCCTATTTATAACCTCAGGAGTAAACCTTAGGCACAATAACTAATTACAACATTACCCCTATACCATACCGCGGGGCTTTGCCCCCGCACCCCAACCCACGTAACTTCCCAATTTGGACAGATTCTTCCGCTCCGCTCCGCTCCGCTTCAATCCAGCGTCTGTCCCGATATTGTATATGAGCCATACCATAACACATATTATTATTTTTATTTAATTTTAAAAAGAATTTATATTAAAAACTCATGATATGTTCCAAATCGGCTCTAATTTTACATGTATACCCAACAATTCTTACATGACCGTTAAAACTTACTTGAAAATGTATATTTTACTTCTTAAAAATAAGTAATATTAATATTATTGATGTAATATTAAAGATTTGAGTGTTACACGTGTAAATATGAAAGTTTAGAGGGCTGGATATGTAAGTATATAAAAATTAAGTCATATGTACTTAAATGGCTCTAAAAAAGAAACCTATGAATAATATGGTTCTAGGTGTTTTCTTGATTGATCATTTATAGCTCCGCCATAAGAGAAGATATTATGTTTGGACATCCGCATTAGTAGAGCTGTAAACGAGCCGAGCTTGAGTGTGCTCAGGCTTGACTCGTGTTTGGCTTGTTTAAAATTGTTTGAGTTTGAAATCGGCCTGTGTTTGAAATTGGTCGTCAACAGTGTGTTTTTATTCAGCTCGATTTAAATATTCTTGTTGTGTTCGGCTCATTGTCGACTCGAAATTAACTCTTTAAAATTAATTGGAAAAAACTGATACAGAGTGTTGGATTTGAATCTAGACCGAATTTATATCAAAGAAGACAAATAACTATATTACCACACAAGCTTTTATTATATAAATATAAATATAAATATATATAATCAATTATTATCTAAATAAATATCTTATTTTTTTTAATTTCAAGTTAAAACAAGCCGAACACGAGTGAAAAAATAGTTGTTCGTGTTCGGCTCGTTTATAAATTAAGCTTAAAAAATTACTTGTGTTTGATTGGTTCTCTTAACGAATAAGTCGAACACGAGCTATTCATGAACAACGAGATTTTTTGACAGCCCTACACATTTACAAACGAAAGGATGAATTCGATCAATTGACCGAACGTCCGAGCAATAAATGTAATATTTTCTCCAATCATTCATATAAAACTTTCTATATTAGTACCAACAGGTTAATATCCTCATATTCAAAAATGATTTTTTACTTTCAAATATAAAAAAAATTATAAATTAAATATCTTTTTTCTTTTTTTGTTTTTGGAAAATAAAATTTCTAATTTTGCAGGCAGCAATTTTTAAAACCCAATGTAAATAATCATTGATGTGATACTAAACTAATATAAATATAATTATATTTAAAAAAAAAATTAATTTTTCCTCTTATTTATAAAACACCTACTGGTTCGTCACAAAGAGGAGCCATCCCTGCACATCCAAGCACGCCAATGGAGCTCGACGAGCAAGCCTTCTTAGAAGATCTCCTCGCCCTCCGCCGGCCGGAATCCTGGGATTCCGGCGATATATTCGGGGCCGATCAAATCCCGACCTTCGATTGCTTCTCCGATGCTCCTTCCATCTACCCGCCGCTCGACTGCTTCAATACCGACGCTTATTGTCAAATGCTCGCCGGCGGCGGGATGTGCGCTTACTATTCCGCCTTTCCTCTGGACATTCCGCCGGAGATTCCTCCTGAAATGTCTTGCAAAGCAGAGGTGCCCTCTTCTGCGGCGGCGATTGA